AGCTGTTTAGAACAGACCGCGACGCAGAATCAACGGGGAAATAGCGCGGCGGCGGGACATGTTTTTACAACAACGAAAGGTGGTGTACAGATGTTATAGCGTTAAAGAAGATGTGCTGTTCCGATCTAGAAGCGCTTTTCATTAACTGTAAGCCGTTCTATTCGCCGCGGGAGTTTCACTCGTTCGTTCTTGTGAGTGTTTACATTCCTCCGCAAGCGCACGTGAGCTCAGCTTTACAGAAACTCATTCCGGACAGCACGCTATAACTGCCCGGCTTTCAGCTGTTTAGAGCAGACCGCGACGCAGAATCAACGGGGAAATCGCGCGGCGGCGGGACATGTTTTTACATCAACGAAAGGTAACTGTAACATCATATATCAGTTTCTGTGAAGACATGTGCATCCCTACCAGGACTCATTTAACATTTAACAATGATAAGCCATGGTTTACAGCAAAACTTTTTCATCTTCGTCAGGCCAAAGAGGACGCCTACAAAAGGGGGGATAGAGTCTTGTACAATCAGGCCAGAAACACCCTGAATAAGGATATTAGAGTGGCCAAGAGGAACTACGCTAAAAAGCTAGAACACCAGTTTTCTGCCAATTACCCTGCATCAGTGTGGAAAGGCCTGAAAGACATCACCAACTACAAGACACCATCCCCCAGCACTGAGGCCAATCAACAACTTGCTGAAGACCTGAATGAGTTTTACTGTAGATTTGAAACTCCCAGTCTAACACCCCACACCCGCTCTGAACATCTCTCCACACAACCATCAACACCTCCTGCAACCCCCCTCTCCCCCACTCCTACGTTTCAGATCAGTGAGGATGATGTGCGCCAGGTCTTCAGAAAGAACAAGAGAAGAAAAGCACCAGGCCCAGACGGTGTGACACCAGCCTGTCTGAAAACCTGCACTGACCAGCTGGCCCCCATCTTCTCACAGATCTTCAACAGATCACTGGAGCTGTGCAAAGTCCCTGCCTGCTTCAAACGCTCCACCATCATCCCCGTCCCAAAGAAACCCAAGATAACAGGACTTAATGACTACAGACCTGTGGCCCTAACGTCTGTGGGTGGTTTATATTTATGCATGTGTATTTTATTCACATCTTATTTTTATTATCTGTGTGTTGTTGCTGTCTCCGTGTACTGGAAGCTTGTGACACTATAACAAATTCCTTGTATGTGCAAACATACTTCGAAATAAAGCTCATTCTGATTCTGATTCTGATTTCATCAGATTTTCAATGGAGTTTAAGTCTGGGTTCTGCCTAGGCCATGCAAGGACATTCACCTTTTTCTCCTTCAACCACTGTGTGGTCAGTTTTGCTGTGTGCTTTGGGTCATTTGTTTTTACGAGTTTTTTTTTTCATGTTTGTGCACTGCTGTGCGTCCCTGTGTGTGTAATAAGTAGAGTGTAGATTAGGGCTGCACGATAAATCGCATGTGATATTTAACGCGCATCTTATCAGTAAAGCCGGTTCTGTAATGTAGATGTATATTTGTCACGGAAGTGGGATTTGAATTACTGACGACTCGTTTAGGCTGTTCGATTCTTTATTTTGGGAGACAATAACTATATCGTGCATTTTTGGCTTTACAACTTTGCAGATCGTTTGGGTCCTAACTAGGGCTGAACGATTTTGGAAAATCTAATTGCGATTTTTTTTTTTTTACCAATATTGCGTTTGCATTCATTCATGCATTCATTCATGCATTCATTCATTCATGCATTCATTCCACTGCATTGAAGTTCAAAATGGCATAATAGGGGCACTTTAAACCATATATGTATGTGTAAAATCTAGCATGCATTTAAAAACAACAGCACCTAGTGTGCATTTGCTTTCCTAAAAATATGGATTAAAAAAAATTGCAGTCATTGCAATCAGTCTGTTTTTGTGTAATTGCATTACATTCATGCAAGTTATAATTGCCAGTTGAGAAACATTAGTTTGAGGAGTAAAGTATATTGATGGCTTAATGGTAGGGATGCAGAAAATATTGGTACCATATTGGTTGTCTGTTGATACTAGATATATCAGCTGACACTGGATATTTAATTGTGCATGCTTATTATTTTACTTATTTTTACATTTATTTTCCTTAATTAACATCCAATCAACTTCATCTTTAAAACACTGATAATTTAATAGCACTGTAACTAAAGGCAAATCTCAAAATGAATGTCCATTTTTCATAGCTATTTTAGGTTTGGGATGCCTGAATTCACTTGTTGCATTTATTTTTTCATTGATCTAATTAAGATAGAATAGGTTTTTCATATCAGCCAATGTATTGGTTACCAGACATCGCATTAAAATGATCAGCACATCAGTATTGGTCATAATTTTAATATTGGTGCATCCCTACAAAAGTTTTTTTTGAAGTATATAAATAGCACTGGTATAATAAATAGCAATATAAATTGTGGATATATATTGGCTGCTGAACTAGAAATGTGTTTTCATTTCTGATCAACATGTGCAGTACAATGACACAATCTTGCACAAGATTAGCTTGGCACAAACAGTTATTACAGTGTGTGCACTGTGCAGCCTTCCAAGCTTGCTTTACACTACATTCAAATGTCAATGATCAGGTTTAAATCAGCACATTCTACTCAACACACTGATGGTATGACATACAGTGCGTTCTGTGCATTTCCCTCATTTACATTTGTAGCTAATTTTCCATTAGCATACTTAAGATTGATGGGTATGCTTATCTTGGAGTGGTGCCTGGTATGAAAATGGTTTGGGTGTGAGTTGAGAGAAGTGTGAATGGTGTGATGGAGAGAAAAAAATTAATCACGAGGGATGATGAGCGCTTTGGAAAAGTCCCCCCCCCCATCAGAATTGTTGGAACATTAATTAGAGCCCTTGTAAATGGTGTGTTGAACACTAGAGGAAAACATATTATAAATCATCCATTCTCCATAATTTGGTTAGAAATGCTAGCAATTATAGCACAGATGTGCACAATATGGAAATGTAACATCAGTTAACTATTCAGTTGATGTGATTTGCTCATCAAATTGAGTGAGAGAGTGTGTAATGTCAATGGCAATCTGCACAGTAAATTTACCAGTGTTGATTTTCCAGTGTTACAATTAGGGCTGGACGATATGGCCAAAATTGAAATCACGATATATTTCTTAATTTCGGTCGATACGATATAATTCCGATATCGATATGAACACTATTTATCTGAAATAGAAATCTTTTGTAACATTATAAATGCCTTTATGATCACTTTTGATCAATTTTAAGCATCCTTGCTAAATAAAAGTATAATTTCTATAATTTCTTTCCCCAAAAAATAATAAAAATTATACTGAATGGAATAGTGTATAATGTTACAAAAGCTTTTTATTTCAGATGGTGGTAAGTCTGATATTTTAATGTTATAATACAGATACAGACTGTAAATTGATTCTAATATTTATAATTTGTCCTAGTCTTATCTATTTTTCGATCACAAATAATTCTAATAATGAATAACAAGACAGCCAACGAGCTCTGATGTGTGATTTTTGTCAATTCAGCCTGTCATGCCACTTTATTAATGAATTAAAGCTTTGAATATGCGTTGTTTCGTCTGTCATCTCATGTCGCACACAGCAATCATTTTTATTGACTAAAGTCTGATCGTGTTCATTTCAGAAGGAGTCTAAAGTCGCGCGCGCGCCATTTTATAGGTGAACTGTGGCGCGTGGAATTTCTGCAGTCTGCTAACGTTACCAGAAAATGTATATATCAAGATGGTCATTGGTCTAAAACAGATTGTTCAGATTTTGTTTTTAAGATTTGGCTTGGATTTCTGCTGATCGTTGACCATGCTTCTGAGACAGTCATGG